TAATCAAGAACGACATAATTTTTAAACAAATAAATGGACAAGATTTGCTCGCAGTACCAAAATGTATGGAGAAGGAGATAATTCAGAATGCACATAACTTTGGCCACATGGGAACTCAGAAGACCATACACGCAGTTCAGCAGGATTTTTACATACCACACTTGGAAAAGAAAGTAAAGCAGGTAATTTCGAACTGCATTGAATGCATCACTCACAACCAAAAGCTGGGTAAACAAGAGGATTTTCTACACGCAATAGATAAAGGCGACATACCACTGTCAACATTGCACATTGATCATTTAGGTTCGTTGGACTTGACGTCGAAAAGCTACAAGTATATCTTCGCTGTTGTCGATGGTTTTTCGAAATATACTTGGATATTCCCTACTAAGTCGACAAACGCAGAAGAAGCTATCCGCCATCTGGAATCGTGGATTTTAATATTTGGCAGTCCTCAAAGAATAATCAGCGATAAAGGAGCTGCGTTTACATCACATTCTTTTAGAGAATTTTGCACTAACAACAAGATTGAACATATCGAGACTACAGCAGGCGTACCAAGGGGCAATGGCCAAATCGAACGGGTCAACAGAGTTATTATTTCTGTACTCTCAAAAATGTCAGCAGCAGAACCAGCAAAGTGGTATAAGTATACATCCCAAGTGCAGCAGGCTATCAACGCACATGTCCACGCATCGACTAGTTTCACACCCTTTGAAGTTATGTTTGGTCAACGAATGAGAAATAACTCCAGTCCTGAGCTAATGAGGATCCTACAGGATGAAATGCTTTTAAACCTACAAGACGAACGCAATCGAATTTGGCAAGAAACTAGGCTACAAATCGAAAAAGCTCAAGAAACCTATAAGAAGAACTACGACAAGAAGAGAAAGGGACATCATGGCTATCAGTTGGGTGATCTAGTAGCCATCAAAGCAACGCAGTTCATAACCGGAAGAAAGTTGGCTAATAAATACATCGGACCATATGAAGTAACTCAAGTAAAACGAAATGGCAGATACGATGTCAAAAAAGCAGCAGAATTTGAGGGTCCACTACAAACATCTACAAGCGTTGATTTTATGAAGCTGTGGCGCTATTCTTACTACGAAGAAGATGACGATCTGAGTGCTGAGGAGGATGATACATCTGGGGCAGATGTTTTGCAGGATGGCCGAATGTAAGGAGGTGTTATGGGCATCAGTTGGCAGCCCATACAAATATCGGCAGGAGTCGTGTCTTCAAGAGGGAGTCGCTATCGTACATCACTAGAGAGAGAGAAGCCGTCGTAAAAAGTTGCAGAAGTCGTAGCGTCGTTTATAGAGCAGTTAAAATAAGTTGTATAACCCTTCAAAAGTCGCGATAATAAGCTGTCAATATTCTAATCAATCGCCTAATACTTTGTAAACCTAAATATAATCCTTATAAACATATAAATATAATAAACAGATAATCCAATTATCTTACATATATCATTCATATATGTAATATTTTATTTATTTTTATATATCTCAGAGTTAATACAAATACGAAAAACAACGAAGTTATAATTGTTTTAATTTCCCGATCGTTCCTATGGCAGCTATAAGATATAGTCGTCCGATTTTCATGAAATTAAAAACGAAATTATGAAATAATAAGAAATAACCATATCTTAAAAATTATTAAAATATGTTGAAAAACAGTCAAGTTATAACATTTTTTCTAAAAATTTGTCGTTCATTTGTATGGCCGGTCTGGCTCGTTCCAACATATATGTATGTATGTATAGCAGTGAGACTACATAGAAGACTATATCGAAGCATTACCGCGAATGTATCGTCCCTGCAGTACCACAATTCATCAATAGGCCTTTTCATCAACAATTCATCAAAGCGCCGACTGCGACGTCGACAGAATCGACGCTCTGCCGACTGCTACTTGAACCCGAACTCCCTTCGGAGACCCGAACTCCCTTCGAGTCCGATTTGTCGGTGCATGCAAAAAAAAAAACAAAAACAATTTGCATGGGCTTCGTTTTTTGAAGTCCGAAACAAAGTAGAAGACGCAATTAAAATAGATTCTCGAAGGTTCGACTCCATATTTTCGGAGCAGCGGTTTTCGGTTTCGTCTTGCTTCTTCTTATTCCCTTTGCATTACAAGTTGAAGTGTTCTCCACTGCAGAAGTGTCGTGTGTTAAAAATGTTAAGAAATCAAATAATTCAATAATTACGTTCCGGGCCATATTGGAATATAAAAAAAGGTGAGTAAAAAGATTGTTCTTAATGAAATAGAAGCCTATAAATGTACATATGTATATTATTTTATTTATTATATGTATATAATATATTATATTTATATATGTATGTATGTATTTTCTTTTCAGACTGCAGTAATGACCAATATATTGGGTAATTTTATTTAATGAAATTATATTTTCCCTGGATTAATTATAATTTTTTCTGTAGATGCAATTTCCCAAGTGACTAAAACTGAGCCTCCAGAGAAGATACTGCGCAATAAATTTGGTCTTCATGAATAGAAAGCGGAACACCAAGGATCAAAAAGACCTTAAGGCCTTTTAATATATGGATGTTTAATCTTAATTTTTAATATTTGTGTTTTAGTTTTGGTATAGAATTAGTAAGAATAAATCATATTAATAAAAATTTAAGAGTTTTATTTTTATATATGAAAAAAAAATCATAAACAATTCATCGATGAATTGATGATGAATTGTTGATTAAAGGCTGATGAAATGTTGATGAATTGTTGATGATTCATCAACAATTCATCGATGAATCATCAACAATTCATCAACATTTCATCAGTCTTTCATCAGTAATTCATCAACAATTCATCGATGAAATGATGATTAATTGTTGATGAATTGTTGTTGATGAATGCCTATGACATGCCCATGTTAAATTCATCAGTAATTTGCATGGCCATTCATCGATGAATCATCAACAACACCCCTTCGGCTATTGATGAAACGTTGATGAATTGTTGATGAATGGTACTGCAGGGGTATGTTTAAAAATCCAATTTTACAGGAAAAGCTTTTTTGTGATTTAATCTCTTAGGAAGCACTATAGAAAAGACAAAATTGAAACTTAATTTTTATCGGAACTATAGGGTTTTCAGTTATAATATTTCACAGGGTAGTCAGACATTAGGTGCCTAACAATTTTGCATTAAAATCTCAATTTCGAAAAAAAGCGACACACGATACACGAAATGCGTCAATATGCAAAGATTCATTCAGGTAGCTTTAAAACTAAGGACTAGGTTGCGTAGAAACGGACAGACGGACATGGCTAGATCGACTCGGCTGTTGATGCTGATCAAGAATATATAGGTCGGAAAGGTCTCCTTCACTGCGTTGCAAACTTCTGACTGAAATTATGGCCATATCTAAAAGGATATTAAAATATTTTGAAAAACAGCTTTCATCCTATACCATCTGCAACGTTTTATTTAACTTTGGCAAATATTCAGGCCTGCTCCGGTAATCGTATAATTTTTTCGTTTTCGTTTTGGGCGAAATCGTTCGTTTTGGTTTTTAGCTTCTCCGGTTTTTGACAAATTTTTGCAATCGGAATGTTTCGTTTTCTCATCGTTTCTTACTGCTCAAGCAGTTGACTTGATTTTTTTGGTAGAAAAGCAAACAACGTGAAGAACTGCTTTTTATATTTACAATTGCTTATTTTGAAGCCAGGAAAAGGCAAAAAATGCTGAAGTTAAGCAATTCTAGGCATCTAAGATGCTGCTACAGTTTTCACATTTTTAATTCCGGTGGTCTCAATTTGGTCAATTTTTTGTCAATTTTGGCCATTTAAGTAATCAAATTAAATAGCATTATTTATAAACAACCATTTTCGCGCTCCTTTTAAGTTATTAATGTATTCATTTATATTTTAAAAGTATTTTTATTGGCTCTTTCGTTTTACTAACAGTAGCAGTCTTGGCGATAACTTTTTGCGATGGACTTATGGACCTATCGCCAAAACGAGAAAACTTGTTGTGGGGTCAGAAATACATTCTTTATAAAATACCTACCTGCCAGAATAATCTTGTGGTGGTGTGATTGGCCTGATTATTATATCATTTTTTTAAACCCGAATAAGTCAAATGTCCTCGAAACTTAATGCTTCATTCCGCTCTTCCCCAAGAGGTTTTCTTAAAGTTTGTTATAGGCTCACCTATCAGCAACAAAGAAATTAAGTATATGAGTTGCTGATAAGCTTAAATTTAATTGTTCAATTTACCAATAATTTTAATTACATTTTTCTGTTACTTATTAATATCTTCCTATTGATAAAGAGTAGAACCCACCCACCTATTTAAACATGTCGGTAATATAAACGACAGATGCGTATTATTCTGCTTGGGGAAGGCTCTTTACGAACCAACTGCTATTGAGTCATATAAAGTTAGACTGCGTTTTTTTCATAGTTATCTGCCGGCATCTCGCCTACATCTAGGCTGATATCCTGGAGTCTAACAACTCAGCCCCAGGCCACACAAAAGTCAAAGCAAAACAGAACCAAGCATCCGACAAACAACAGCAGGACGAACTCCCTTCTGGGAGGTGGACGGGGCCAGGATCTCGAAAGCGACTCTGTATGCTCATCCACAGCCGCGCCGGATTGTAAAGATATAAAATCAGACATTTGCAACAACACAACAGAACTACAACGGAAAAAGCACGGGAAAAGGAGCGGCGAGATGCCCAAGGACAGGCGCTGGCTGCGTCCTAGTCCTCCGGGTTGTCAGCTGCAGCGGCGGCGATTTGTAGCGCCACAAGGATAATCACACTTTTAATCGTGATTTAAGTTTATGGCGCTGGGCGCTCGTTTAGTTTCCTGTTACTTGTTACTTGTTCGTGGCTACTACAACGATGCATCTTGCTGCGTCTGCGAGGGTTTTTTCAATTCTGTCTCATGGCTTCATCAGCATCGTCCTTCGCCGGGTGGTGGATCCTTGTTAAGTTTGCCGCTTTCATTTTTATATATTTTTTAATGATTTTTATTGCATAACTGGCGGCGTCTGCTCGACCTACGGCCCATCTCTGGCCTGCCAGGCAATTGCACTTTGCCACATTTTATGGCCAGCCCCAAGAAGGAAGCCAGCCAACAATGGCTCGGAAAAGGCGGAGTCCTGATTTGATGTCGGTGCTCGACGGGCAAAGCCAGCGTTAGTAGCCGCTTCCCACATTGGGATGGCTTTAAGCTGCGGCCAGTCAAGCATCCCGAATGGAAACTAGATCCGGGGTTGCTGCGATTCAATTCAGCTTCGATAATCACGCAGGATCCCCACTGATCCGCTCGCCCCTAGCCCCATCTTCACTCCCTTCGCTGCTAACTGCACCCACATAAATCTCGGGACCGCACACCTTTTCCCAAGCGCCCGGCGTAATTTGTTGCTAAACAAACTCTCATTTACCTCTTGCCCGACACTGGTCCTGGTCTGGTTGCGCTCCGGTTCGTTTACTTTTACAAATTATAAGCACTCACATAAATTTCACTTACTGCCGCCGGACTGGGTGCTAAGTTTGAGCCTCTTTTCGGGCTCTGAGCTACGAGTCCTGAGCACTGGGCACTCTTTACGAGACGTAATTAGAAGGTAAGACCGGCTACTGGCCAACTTGAGGCGAGGCGGAAGGATGGGATGGGAATTGGCCACTTGAAATGCAAATTGCGTGCAAATTATGCCAAGCTGGCAGTCAACCGGCAGGTGAACAAGTGGCCCCTCTTCCGTTGCTCTCCTGATTCATTGCGAGGGCACAGGAAAAGGAAATATTACCTAGGAACCCCGGAAAGTTGTGTTTTTAATTTTTCAAGTCTTAATTCAATTTGTATCCGTGCAGTTTGTGCATCCAGTTCCTTGGGGATCGGATCTCTTATCTCTCATCAGACCCTTGAAACAGGCGAGGGAAGTCTACAATCACAGTTGATTAATTGGAGAATTCTTTCCACTTTTTGTGTTCGAATGTCATAACATTTTAAGCATTCTAGGATTAAGTCTGTGTGATAATTGATAATATATTCAAGATAATACCTAAACGAACCTTTAAGATAAAATCATCAAAGTACAAAATATAAAAATTGTAAAGTCAAGCTGTCCCACTTACCGTTATTATGAGTTAGAAAGGCGTTCTCCGCTTCCGAAGACGATGATCCCTGGTGGTCATTATTGGCGTTGGAGGAGGACGACGAGTTGGAGAAGTCGTAGGGATGGGTGAGACTGTTGCTTCCGGCAGCAGAGGCAGCCAAGGCCTTGAAAAGGTGCGCAGTTCGCTGCTGCTGCGTCTGCGTCTGCTGCAGTGGCTGCTGCTGAGGTGGAATGTAGGGGTTGTTGTAGATATTGCGACTGTCATTCGACGATGGCTGCAGGTTAAATTGCTGCTGCTGTTGCTGGTGCTGCTGCTGCTGCTGCTGAAGCGTGTTATTGGCACTGAGCCCGTTCACCGTAAAGTGACGAGATTTAGCTGAAAGGAGAAGATGAAGCGGTCAGAACAGCATTAGCTTGGTGCATAAGAGTGCCTGAAAAGTAGCAGAACTCTTTCAGTGGCATGGCAGTGGCTGCTCCTGCTCGGCCCGTCCTCCGCGCCACTTACGCCTAATTGCATACATTGAAATATGCAAATGAGGACTCTGCGTTTTGTATGTGTGCTCGCCTCAATTAAAGCATTTTCGTTGTCATCTCGAAGGGACTGTGCGGTGAGGTTTTCACTTTTGCTCCGCCTATTGTTGCTTTTCTCATATGAATTATGCATGGCAGTACCAAAAACAACAACTCAGCTCCTCCCACCCCCAGCGTGTGCTGTTGCTGCGGAAACAGCGTTGACGCGAAAGCTGTGATAATGAAGCTGGCAGAAAGCAAAGTGTCGCCTCGACTCCTGAACCAGCCCTCCTTCCAGCCCCCGGTCGATGGCCGCAAAAAATGACGCTAACCCTTTCAATTTTCCACAAGCAGCCCGCCCGGAAAAGTTTCTCCTTTCCGGCTGCTCTTTCGTTGTTGTTGCTGCTTTTTGCATATTAATTATGCATGTTTTGGTTGGTGTGAAGGCATCAACACATTGTTTGAATTTTAAACAACACAAGCGACAAAATTAGGGGTAAACTCCGGGTGGAGCGGAAGGGGTGTTGGTCTTCTTTCTGGCTTTCGGCTTTTGGCTTTCACACTGATTTGTTCAGCTTTTGGTAGCCGACTGTGTAAATATTAAGTGCAAAAGATAACGAGCTAATAACTCAGTTAATTCGGCCCTTTTGTCTGCTTCTGAGTGTGTGGGTGAGTGTGGGATGATTAAAGGGTATTCTGAACGCGGAATGTGGGTGATAAGTTATTGCTTTACTGGAATGTCACTTCTAAATGTTGCAAGTAGTAACCTTATGCCATTATATATATATATGTATATATAAAGATAACTGGTTTAATATAAAATCAGGATCACACCAAAATGCTATTACTCTGTTTTTTTTTTTTTTTTTTTCTTTTTGGATATATATTTTCGCCGGAAACGTTCAGTGCCATCTAAACTTTACCTGGCGTTTATGAGGTTTTGTAAAATATGGTACATATTCCTATGGACCTAGACTAACTATTACTCTGTGAAAAAGAATAGATGAAGTGATTTACTTGATTATATTTCTTTGCCTGATCTTTGTGTTCGTCTGAATATGATATTTTTATTTAGATTTAACGCGGGTTATTTAAGCAGCTAGGGTACTATGTCCCCCAGTTAAACCTTCCCTCCCTAATCATACACCAAAATGGTTTCACATTGTTGTGACTCAATCGCTCTCGCTCAATTACCCTATCGAAGTTGCGAGCAAATATCTTCCTCTTTAAAGGTCAGTTCCATCGGATCGAAGACAAGCCTTCAATGTCAATTTCCCGCCAATAAAAAAGTTGGGGCAACACGCGTCGCGGTTTAAAAAGCAATGCTCATAAATTTTCACTAGAACGAATTTATTGGTAAATCCCCACCGAAGGCGGCTTTATGACACGGGCCAAGCCAACTGGAATCAACTCGTTGAAGCCGGGACAAATCTGCGTCGCGTCTAAATGTCAATAAAAATCACATTCGGCCGCCCTAGGATTTCCGATGGGCGACGGGGAAGAGTCGCCCGTTTAGCGAGGAAATAATGACATGAAATCGCATAATTCGACGATGCAGAAGGGGTTCAGGCCGGGTCGACGACGAGGCCCACAACAATGGAGCCAAATTTGCGCCCCAGTGAAAGTCAAGGAAACAAACTCCAAATGGCCTGATTTAGTAGGCACTTGGGGCATCATCTCCGCAGAGGCGGCAAAATATTAGCAACAACAAAGGAATAAAGCATTTGCAAAGGAAAACTAGCGGCAACAAAAACAAAATAAATGTGTAAAAATTGTGCGGCAATAAAATTTGCGTAAATAGTCCAATTTGCATTGAATGTGGCCCTTATTTATGTGGCTATGGCGCAATCAGGCCGCCCTGGAAATGGCCGGGGTGTCTACGGAATTGGGGGATGTGTTGCCAGTAGGGTGCCGGAGTGGGATCCGTTGATGTGCTGTTGTTGTTAGTGGCCCCACTGGCGAAGTGTAAATTTGCCAAATTTTGTTGAAAGGAGAATAAATAAAAATGTGTATTCGGGCAATGGCTGGAAGTTAAAATGGAAAATGGAATTGGGTCTGCTGTTGGGACTGGGAGGGCACTGGGGACCGTGTCGAATGGGATTCTATTTTTCAGGATTATCGACGGCCCATTTTAAAGCGGAAGTGGGGCACAGCTTACGTGCAGCCCCAGAGAGAGAGAGAGAGCGAACTTCAAGTTTAGCCAGAATCCAACCAGGAGGTTGGGATGAACGGCCATGGGGGATTATGTAATCTTGCGCAATCCTCGCAATTAATTCACCAACCAATCAATCCGCAATCGAAGCTCCCTTTGTTTCGCCGCAAACTTTGGCCAGACGAAAGCACTCGAAACTTTTCACTCACAATGCCCCAATCAGGTCTCCACCAACAACAACGCGCACAATTAACAATCGATGCAGCCAATTAACAATTAACAGCGAACCGAAAATGGAAGCCAAGGAAAGTTTCAGTAAAAGTTTGTAAGAAATAAATCCCTGCGAGGGCGAAACTTTTTAAACCGCTTTGCCCATGCTGACAACATTTTATAAATAAATTCCCCAGGCCCTATAAATATTTGAGGACCGCCTAAATCCGGCTATTGATCCTCATTAACATTTCAGGACAGCCTGATGGCTTCGCTCTACACTTGCACGCACGCCTCAATTAGGGCCAACTAATAATAGTCACACTCTTTAAATGGCTTTAAATTAGGCATTCAAATTGCGGCAATTATGGGAGAATTAAGTGCTCGGGCTGCGGATTTTAGGAGAGCGGGAACAGGGGCCAGGAATCACAGCTCTGCAAGTTTCTCGCCACTCAGCAGCTACCCCAAACTAAGCGCATTAGCCTCGCATGGGGATTGGGACTGATCCCTGAGACACTTGAACAGATGTCCTGGCATTTGAAATTCACAAAACTAAAAGCAAATGGGGAAATTCGAGTGCGAATCCGAATACAAATGCCGCTGACTCATCCGCGCCGGCAAGACAAGGCCGAGGACTCAGCAGGGCCGGACCCAGAAGCCAAAACACCTTGTTGTCCCGCCTGGCAGTGACAGTTAGCTGTTGTCACCCCGGCGCATCCTCTGCAGCCGGGAAAATTCGCACAGCTGAGCGAAGACGGCGCAGAAGTTGGCTGACTGAATAATTCCGGGCCGGGCTTAGAGGTGAGAGGCGAGGCAAGGGGATAGGGCGTCCGTTGGGCTCTAATGCATGTTTGGCATTTACATAATTCCCAGCGGCGGAGATGGGTTGACTCGCCGGGGTTGAAGGCACTTGACTCGCACCAGCCGGAAAGCCCAACCATACCAAATATCAATTACAATCACGCAATCTGAAGAGCCCGGGCAAAGGATCGGGGCGACACAACAAGCAAATTAATTGAAATCAATGCAAATGCCCAGAGCAGGACCGCGCCGGGCTCGGCTTAAGGGTTGCTGCAGTCCGCTCGCGGGCTCTGTTCCTCCATTTCTATGGGCAATCGCATTTGTCAGCGGCTTAAGGCCGCCGTCCGCCTTCGTCCTCCATTGTTGTCAAACATGTCAAAGCAATTGCAAACATTTGGGCTGCCTTTCATTTATCAGCGCGAGTTAAATCAGTTTTATTTTTTCACTCGTTCGCTTGATCTATGGATTCGATTTCGCGGTTTGCTGAGCACCGGCAGCGGAAAGATAACGCTCCGATAAATAGAGTCCTGCCGGCAGCTCATCCTTTCCAGCGGCGGCGGCTTCCAGTGTGATAAGTAACCCATTTGGGAGGTGGCCTTTGTGCAATATGTCCTCGTGTTTCTGGTGGCTTTTGCGGGCATTCTCTGGCCTAGAGATCTGGATTGGTCCTTAAACATATGGCGTAATTAAACGTGTCCCTGAAGGGGATATTCAAACAAGCCAAGTGCGTTTTACAATACTTGGCTCCCTTGGGAGGACACACATTTCTCTAACAAAATCAAAACATTAAATTAAAACTTTACAAAAAGTAAGGAAGATATTGAAACTTTCTTCAAATAGATAACAATAATTTTTATACCCTTGCAGGGTATTATAATTTCAGTCAGAAGTTTGCAACGCAGTGAAGGAGACGTTTCCGACCCTATAAAGTATATATATTCTTGATCAGCATCAACAGCCGAGTCGATATAGCCATGTCCGTCTGTCCGTCTGTCCATCTGTCCGTCTGTCTGTTTCTACGCAAACTAGTCCCTCAGTTTTAAAGCTATCTGAATGAACTTTGCATATAGTCTTCTGTATACTCTCACTGCTATATATGTCGGAACGGGCCGGATCGGACGACTATATCATATAGCTGCCATACAAATGTTCGATAAATTTTTAGAAAAAAAATTATAACTTTGCTGTTTTTTAACATTTTTGCACCATTTTTTAGATATGGCCATTTTATATTATTTCTGAATTTTGGTAAAAATTTTATGAAAATCGGACGGTTATATCTTATAGCTGCCATAGAAACGATCGGGAAATTAATAGGAAACAAATTATAACTTCGTTGTTTTTCAACGTATTTTCATCTACTCTGAGATATAAGCTTATTTTATTATTCTAGAATTTTAGTATAAATTTCATGAAAATCGGACAACTATATCATATAGCGGCCATAGGAGCGATCGGTAGATGTAGAGAAAATGTAAAGGTGTGAATGTAAAACTGTAACTGTCAAACTGTAAACATAATAAGTATAGGTGAAATGTAATGAAATAATATCTGCAAGGGTATACAAACTTTGGCGTGCCGAAGATAGCTTCCTTTCTTGTTAAAAGACAAATCTGTTTAAAACTACACGTATGCAAGCTAGATTGATATGGAATAACTTTATTTTGTAATAACTCCAATGAAATGCGCTCTCCAAAACTTCT